GATTTCTTGCTTTCTGTCTCTATGTCTCTCTCTGTCTGTCTGGCGAGCGCACGCGCCCTACAGTGAAAATCTCTCAAAAAAAAAAAAAAGAGTTAATGAAAGTTGTCATTTATTTCACTTGCTGTAAAAGGCGAACCACAAACTTTATTCTTGGGTGTCCTCTGGCTTATTTACATGAATTATTTATCTTATGTCTAGAAATTTAATACATGTCATAGAGTTGCAAATTACACAATCCATCTTAGGTTTTGTAGTTTGGTGCCTAAATGGGTAATCAATCTCAGCTATTAGTTTTATTTATTAAACCCAGCTCAAGAAGTAGAGGTTTGACCCCATCTTACATTATGCTAAAAACATAGATATGCTCAGTCTGAGATGTTGGCAGCTAAAAAGAAAACCAATTTAAGTGAAAGGTAAATTAATAAATGCTGTGCCAATCCTGTGTGTCAGGATTATGGGAGGAGATTAATGAATTCCCCTACCAAGGCAGAAATCAAAACATGCTGGCCAATAGGTAAAAACATTGACTAAATAATGTCTTCAGATGTCATTATGAATCAGTGAAACAAACTTTGGAAATTTTAAGAAATAAACTCTCAGATGTGAAAAACCTACTAGCTTCCTCTTATCTAATATATTTTTTCTTAATATTGGTTTCTATCCTAAGATCCTCCAGCAAAATGCATCAGAATGTTATATAAGCTTAGTCGGTTAGTGCAGTGATGGTGTGCTCATAAAAACTGATCATGAGGGGTCGGCAGGTGGCGTGGTGGTTAAGGGGACTGGCGTCCCACTTGAACCATCTTTCAAGTCCCAGACCTGATGACTTGCTTTCTCGCTTTCTCTCTCTCACTTGCTCTGTCTCTCGCTGGTCAAATTAAAATACATATATAAATAAAGTTAAATAAAATAATTCTTTAAAAGAACTGATAATGGAATCTTTTCTGAGTTGCTTCTTGTCTGGGGAAGATTTGGGTACTGTGACGGGGCTTGGGGAAGAAAGGGAGAAGGAGGATGGATTACAAAATAAAGAACTGAGTTCAAAAATTGCAAGATACAGTCAGTTGTTCACATCTTTTTCTCCCATGTCTTATTAAGACTTATGTTTGTTACTCACCTTAAAACCTTCACTTTTAAGCTTCCAGACAGCTAAATAATTAACTTCTATTAAATAGGATTCGATGTTGAATCTCAAGAACTTGGCCACTAAATAATATTGCTGATAGGGACGAGGTTGTAGTCTTAATGACTGGTTTTTACCCTCAGCCTCCCTAAGCATCTCTTCTCAGACAGCAAGGTCTTTGTGTGTTCTATTTTCTTCTGCTCAAAACATCCTTTTTCCCTTATCTCCTTGTTTCACTCATAGTCAACCTCAAATCTCAGTGTACAGCCTTTTCCAAGGAACCTCTCTAATTTCCAAACTTGGATCCCTTTACTCAAAAGTCTCATATTCTTTCCATAGACTTGTGATAGCAATAAAATTTACATTTATCCATGAAATTATTTTGGGTCTGTCTTTCTCTCCCAAGGTAAAGTAAGCTCTGTGAAGTCAGGGGCCATGCATGTATGTCGTTGTTGTTTTTGTTGTGTTTTTTGTTTCTTTTTTTTTTCCCCTATGTCCACCATGTTGTCTCTAGGTCTTGGTACAGTGCTTGGAGCATAGTAAAAACTTAATATTTCTTGAATCACTGACAGAAAAGAAAAAGCAATTTTGCTTTTCAATTTAGTGATCAAAGGAGTGCCAAACACAACTTCTGTGCCTTTCAAAATCATCATAGAATCAAATGTTTTTTAGATCAATAAGAAGAGGCGAGTTCTGCATCATATTTTAACAGGATGACTATAAATGAACACCTACTTTCACTCAGTGTGTTGGCTAATTTGGACATAACTATGAGGAATGTTTGAATAGGTAATTCACTGTTGTGCAACAAACACATAGCTGGCTGTAAAGTTGACCTTAATTTTCTATCATTTGGTTAGAAGAAGAGAAACTTGAAAGGGACCCACTGAGTACCTTGGCTACTTATCATGGTATCACTCCTGCTTTTCCTATGATTGTGACATTTGAGGACCTTACAGGACATGTTTCATTCCTCTGGTGCAATGGGAGAGATCAGGGACTCAACCATCTTGTGGAGATTAGAAAATGGGATTTCCTTTTGTTCTATGACCTCACCTTCCTCCAACTCTGTGACCTTTAGTTCCTCATTCCTTTGTCAGAGAAGGTGTCACCTATGGATTTCCTCTTCAAAATTACAAAGGAAATTCAAGATTTAGTTCCTTTTCAGCCTGCTGCTTGGCCTAGTGACAAAACCCAGCTATTGTTTTAAAGATAAATATGAAGTGGAGTAGTAAAAATTGAGATCTGAGCAAGAAACTCTCTGTAGTTGATTTTCATCTCATCTTCAATTAACTCAGCATATGTTTTCTGAATGTCTTTGATACAAAAGGCATTCTGGTATGTGTTAGCTAATAAAAAAATTCACAGTCTAGTGGGAGAAGCAAAGTTGTAGCTAGCAGTATCAGACAGACTGGTAAGCATTAAAATAGAAGTACAAAGATAATGTAAGTCTCAAGGGAGAGAGAGATTAATTCTAATTAAGGGATTTTGGAAAACTTTGAGAAGGATTTGAATCTAAAAGATGAATCTTTAATAGTGAGGAAGAGATCAATGAGCTAAAAGAGGAGGAAGAGGGTC